GATTTTAGTATTAATCATTTCAATATTTTTACGTCTTACAATGTTCAATAGATTTGACTTTTACTATCGCTACCATTAATGGATCATTAAATAACCAATCACACACGTTTGATATATCCGATGAGCCAATCAGATGCGTATACTAATCCGGTGAGAGGTACAGTGGAAGTCAAATCTGAACCTCTCTTATAATAACTTTCATTTTGAAGAAGATCTTACCTGTAGGTTCCAGTTTTTGTTTTACGTTTCGGTATACGTTTACTTAATTCTCTCTTGTGAACAAATTTTCTTTAGTATTTCAGTGCGAGAAGATCTTAGAAGTGCTGAAACACGTTTCATTCATAGATCTGTAAGATCTGCTTCACTTATTTATTTCATATCAGGGTGTGATACTGTAATTGAAGATTTTTAGTTGTGCCTCACTGGTACTCCAATGATTATCATCATGTATACTAAGGTGCACTACAGTCTTTAAGATAAAGTCCACAAAGCTACAAGATAATCATCATCAGTAACATAAAACTACGAACCAGAACAAGAAAAAGAGAGCCAGAACAAGAAAACTTTATGTGTTTGTATATGCAACAAGACGCTCTCTCGAGCGTTAAGTTGCTGGGGCTTTTTAAATAGGCGCCTGCGTGATTTGCAACGAGCGGTAAGAGTATATTCAACGATTTGTGGGCTTGATTTGTAATTGTACATAAGTTTATTAAATAGTGACACGTTGCAACATAATGTATACAGCAAATTTAATTAAGGGATGGACCATTAGAAAAGTGATGATATGGGGGGGGATTTTCTAAGAGGCAATATTTTTTTTTGTACACCTATAGAAATTTTTTTTGTCTCACTTGATGGCTGGAAATATATTTTTCTATTAAAATTTATAGGCCTATCTTCCAAGAAAGGAATTTTTTTTGTACTCTGCCTGGGAAGATTTTTTTCCTCTAATTTTTTCCTGGGAATAAATTTTTTTGGTCCCCCCCCTCCCCATCAGTTTTCTAATGGTCCGTCCCTAAGGTCGTCAGGTCCGTTGCACAATCAGGTCTGTTGCACAAGAGTTCATCATATCGCTCAACCGAAGAATTCCTACAGGTCATAAAAGAGATCCACTGAAGAATTCCTGTTAATACCCATGAAGAGAGACCCTGGAAGAATTTCAATTTTTACATTTGAC